GAGACAGCTGCTGGAGCAGCTGGGTCAGGCCCGAGAGCAGCTCCGGGACAGCGAGCGCCTCTCGGCGCGAAGAGTGGAAGCTCTGAGCCAGGTAAAACCGTGAGTGCCCTCGGAAGAAGCGCTGCCAGGCAGCGCCTCGCCGCCCCGGGGGCGCGTAATGCCCGAGGAGCGGCAGCTGGGCTCCCGCGCTCCTCGCCAGAAAAAAATCAGTAATTTCAGTTTAGATCTTGAATGGAGGAGGCAGCCACTTTGCATTCAGACTGCTCACTCGCGTTTATGGAGACAGATTGGGGGGCGCAGGCACCGGCGCTGACGCCTGGGTTTAAGTGCCGTGCCCCGGGTGGGTTCTGACACCTGCCCGGCGGGGCTGCTGCGCTTGACAGGACTTGCTCGACCCTTGTGTGCCCTGAGTCGCACTGTGCCCAAAACAGCTCAGCCGTCTGTATCCAGCAGTAGTTCCCCCTGCCTTAAGCTCAAGAAGGCAAACCATAAAATCCTAAAACAAAAACTTAATGTGGCATTATAGATCTTCACACAACTGTTTTCACAAGGTGAAGGAAAATAGTAAAAAAATCCTAAATCTGGAAGTTCTGTATTACTGAACACCCTCCTCTTTATCAGATACAATAGTTTTGTTCTGTAAGATAAACAACTAATGCCACCACTATTATTATTACAGTGCTTTTTTAAAGGGAACTTAAGTGGATTTTTGTACTGACATTAAGGCAGCACGTTCATACTTGCAGAAGTAACCAACAAGTCTGGATTGTGAGGACATAGATCAGGGAAACCGGTATCTCTTATGACAGGAAAAAAAAAAAAAGTCTCAAAACTGTCCCCTCCCATCTACCACAACCACTGTTTTTCTTAGTGTCATTAAGACGTTTCCGTGTTCAGTCTGAAATACTTAAAGAATTTTAAAGCATTTCTTTCTATATGAAGCTGCATAAAGGAATTTCCAGTCTGAGAAGCAGTGCTTAAAATTGAAACAAGTGTTTTTGTCATAAGTAATCTCTTGACCTAATGCTTATACAAAACATTTTCCATATATGACATTACCTAAAAAACATTTAAGTAAGTTCAAGTTTGGAAATTTGTAATAAGAGATGATCTTACTGACACTTTGCACACAGCTAACAAACCTGTGGTATTTGAAAATATTTTGAAGTCTGATGCTGAATAACTTTATAGCAAAAGGGAAATACAGCATTTAGCACAACGCTAAAGAATTTAAATATCAGGAATATGAACAAGTACTATTTCTGTAAGTTAGGTATTTAATTCTTTGTAGAAATAAAAATTTTATGCCCGATCAGAAACACTGAAATCACTATCACTAAAAATAACAACAACAACAAAAGATATTTTGCCTATGTGCTGGCAAAGAAGAGTACTCCCTGTGATTTGGAGCTCCATTAGCACTCCCAAAAAACTGGAAGGGTAGAGTCAAGCTTGTACCTGTCTCATGGTCTATGCTGGCATCCAGGGCATCACTGCTTCTGGAGGAGCAGTGCTGCAGAGCTTTGTTACCAGCATCCGCTACTTTTTGAGGATATCAAGCACAAGATGTTTTTGACATAGTCAGGACCAGTGTACTTCAGATGCATGGTACTAAGAGTGGTTTACTCCAGTCTGCAAGCAAACTTCTTCCTTCTCAAAACACCTGCAGAGACGTTGATGCAGTGTGGATGATCCCACAGAGCTTCCAGTTCAACCAGAACCTGTGGCAATGAGATACACAGTTGTTTCCTAAGACTATGTCAGACCCCCTCAAATACCTTGGAGAGTCAGCTAGGGCCAAAATAGTCATTGCTGCCACACGGACTTAATTTTCTGTTTGCTTGTCCTTACCACTCATTCTTTCTGAGGTGGGAGAGTTATTGTGTATGCCCCCTCTGCTTTGTCCCTGTGATGCTGTCAGGCAATGAATACACTGGTTTTTGATGACTTTCTAGTTCTATGTTTTTTTTTCAGAAAAATTTATACTATCTGGTAATTCAGAATGCAAGACCCATAAGCGTTTCTCAGTCTCCATAGCTATTCCTTTTAAACTACTGTGTTTCTCAAAAGTTCTATCTTTAGATTGTTGCTGCTCTAAATCTTCCTGATTTTTTGCTGGTTGTTTTTTCATCCTACTGACTAGGAAGTACTTCTATAGCTGTCTGATCTGAGCAGTTCTTGATTTTGATGGACTGATCTGTCAGTTCCAAGGTGTGATTATACAGAAATGAATTGGATTTATTTTACTTTTCAAGTACTTTGCACTGAGTATAGACAGAAGCAAGATGGAATTACTGCAATATGGAATTCAGTCTTCACAGATTTTGGCTTTTGAGTTCACTTGGCTTTTAAGTAACTTCCCCTCCCCCTTATGTTTAGGAAGTACAGAAGTTGAATCAGCAACTAGAAGAGAAGAATGGAGAGATACAGCAGATGATAAATCAGCCTCCATATGAAAAGGAGAGAGAAATCTTACGACTTCAGAAGAGCTTGGCAGAGAAAGAGAAGGCTCAGGCCACCAGTGATGTTTTGTGTCGTTCACTCACTGATGAAACTCACCAACTTCAACGCAAATTAGCATCCACAGCAGAAATGTGTCAACATCTGGCAAAATGTCTAGAAGAGAAGCAAAGAAAAGAGAAGGGGAATTCAGATGACCAGATACCTGCTGGAAGATCTGATCAGGTATTCTTACTGCTACTATGTTTCTTTAAAGTCTTATCAGCTTCTGAGTTGTTAATTACAGTATGCTAGTAGTAACTGCGGAGTGGTGAGAAACATCCCTTTAAATAATTTCATGTAGGGTGAAGCGACTACCATGGCAAGCTCTAAATAATTCCAAGTACCAAAAATTTAGGATGGAAGCAGTTGTCAATCACTTGCATTTTGACCATCTCTCTTATCATCAGAGACTTTTTGCGGGGGAGGAGAGGATCCTGAGAGGTCCCTTCCAACCTCAGCAACTCCATGCATACAGTCCTTCCCTACATATACAGGAGATGGTACCTTCACACCGCAGGATTCTTCTGTGTGTCACTAGGTGGTGCTGTGCTTTCGAATCTCCCGATTACTTGTTTAAGCATCTAAATCCCAAAACAGTAGAGGTATTTTAAAGGAGTATTTATGTTAAGTACTCTATAGCATGTGGTCTCCTCAGATCAGGATTTGGCTTTGCACACGTAGTACAGACCTACAGAAAGTTGGTTGGCAAGAATGAGTCAAAGTATCTTATTTTTTTTTTAATCTGGGTTTCCCCACTGGCCTCCCAGTGCAAAGGCAGTGTTTCTCTCCAGCAGGGATGTTTAGAAAAATTGCTTCATGATAGGAAGGTGGCAGAAGTGCCACTGAGGGGCACAAAACCACCTGGATTTTGATGTACTTTGATAATGGCTGTGGCTTCACTGCATCATCTTAGCTGAAGCTTTTCAGCACAGGGTAGAGGTAGATTGTGCTGTTCTGTTGTTCCAGAAGTCAGGGTTGTTAAGAGTTGTTAGGTAATTCATGATAATACCGTAAGGAAGTAACATTAGCGGTGCTGCTGCTAATAGATCAGAATATTGATTAGAATGATACAGGCCAGTTCTCAAAAAAAGAATTAATTCTGTCTCATGCTACACAGTGGTAATGCTGTGCTTCACATGACCACTCATCTATGCTTTTATCAAACTCTATACATGCTCACTTCTGCTTTGTAAAACATCCCAGGAGCATTTCCAAAGAAAACTTATTCACATTAAGGTTACCTGTAAGAAATAGAGGTTAATGGGATAAAAGAAAAAAGGACTTTTTAGAGGGACTTGGAGCATTTAGCGTTATCATATTTTACGTGTAATTGATAGACAGGAAACCTGATTGACTTTGATATATGTAATAAGTAGCTAACCTTGTACAGTGGGGACTTCCCTCTTGAAGAGAAATTTCAGATGCAATTACTAGCTGATTCTAGGGAATTTTGTACAAAAGTGTTCTATATTACTCACGTACACCGGGGTTTTTTTAAGCAGATGTCACAACTGTAAAAAAAGAGGTATCATTTTAGTCAATTATTTAGCAAGCAGGGTTTTTTTCCCTCAGTAATTTCTTCCTAGTACTGGCCAAAATTGACAGTAACAACAAAGCAAGATGAAGGCATATCTGTGTCTTTGTCATGCATTCCTCCACTCCAAACAAGGAGTTTCCAAGGAGTTTGTGTAAATCATTAAGCTCTTATCATCAGTGTAGACCCTCATGCCTGTCATGTGTGGTATTTTTCTTGTTACCTTCAATAGGTTCAGAATTTGGTAAGACGGATCTGTTTTTATGACACTACACAGATCTACTGAAAAGCAAGACCAAGATGGTACATCTTTGCTTGGCTTATTAATAATAGAAGCTGTAGGATGTACTAGTAGTATTTAGAAATATACTATATAGAAATAAGTAGACCCAGATGTATGTATTTGTTCACTGGTAGCAAATAGTTTTAGAGGAATTTTAAAAAAGATTACTTCCAGTCTAACAGTATAGCTAAGTAGTATTTGGGATTTTTATGTTAAAGTAACTCTTCCTTTATCTGAAAATTACAGCTTTTAGACAATGAAACTTCACTTCAAGCTCTTATCAGCAACCTACAAGATGAAAACAGGATGTTAAAACAAAAAGTAGCTCATGTGAGTACTTTCATTTTGTACAAGATTAAGATTTGAGTATTTTGAATTACAGTAAATTTGGAGTTGGTAAGACCTGGTTAATATAATTAAATGGCAGTTTACTGTGAGTCCAGAATTTTTCTTAGTCCTTCAGCACGGCAAATAGTCTTTGTTCCTTTAGCTAAGAACAACTTATTATATATTGTTACTAATATATTAGGGTTTTGTTGTTACACTGCAGAAGAAAATTTTTGCGTTCCTTCCATGCATCAGTATTCCACCCCAGGAGAACAGCACTAGGCCCAGGGTGAGCACCAGCCCCTCCCATTCCATATTCTTCAGTGCAGCCCCTGGGGATTAGGGAATGGGGAAGGCTGCCCTGAGGAGCCTGGTTTATACCACAATAATCTTCTGCTCTCCTGACAAGTGGCTTGTCCACACTCAGCAGCTGAGTCAGCGTATTATATTACCTTTTAGAGAATTTTGGTCATGCACATACAGACAGTCTGTGAAAGCTTGTGTCTTCCTGTTCTTCATGACTTTCCTGGGTAATCTTTCAGGTGGAAGACTTAAATGCAAAATGGCAGAAATACGATGCGAGTAGGGATGAGTATGTGAAGCGACTCCACTTGCAGCTAAGAGAGATGAAGTCACAACTAGAGCAGCAGCACTGCGTAACTTCAGCACAAACGAATTCTGACCTGATGCACAAGGAGATATTCCGGTTAAACAAGCTACTGGAAGAAAAAATGAATGAATGCATAAAAACAAAGACAGAATTAGAAGATGTGAAGAAGGCTAGTGAAGGAGATAATGAGCGCATACAAATGCTGGAGCAACAGGTCATTAAGTTTCTTTTTCCTAGAGGTGGGAATTCTTAGTTTCTCCCCAGACTACTGAAGTTTAAGGGAGAAAAATAAAATTATTTCTTTTGATATTTGCCACTTGTCTTGCCATGTTTGGCTATACAAATACTTAACACAGATTTAAAGGAAACTCACTACTTAAAGAACAGCGTGCAGTTCTGCTGGCTTTAAGAAAAGTATGAAAGATCTGAAAAAGAAATACAAACACCTTTAAAGTACAGATATGATAGAGAAGATAATATTGAGATTCTGGAAATAAGTATTTACAAACAAAGGAATCACAGCCCCTACTTTTTAATCTAACCTACCAATGCTCTAAATCATAAAATATTAATGTAATAATTCTTTTTTCAGGTCCTAGTTTATAAAGATGATTTCACATCTGAGAGATCAGATAGAGAACGAGCGCAGAGTAAAATACAAGAGCTTCAGGCAGAAGTTGCATGTCTGCAACACCAGCTAGCAAGAAGACAGGTAAGAAAGCAACATATACTGTTTTTTTCAATTAAAGCATGTCAGCAGGATTCAAGACTGAAATATACTTTAAAATACATTTTTTAAAATTTTAGTACTTCTAAAACTCACCTCAGTGTAGCTATCAAATTTAAATTATTTCATAGTCAATTTTAGGGGACATGCTTCCCAATGCACAGATAATATCCCTTTCCAGTCCATTTTCCTTCTATTTAGGATCACCATAGTAAAGAGTGAATTCCTAGAAGGAAGAGAAGGATGACCATAAGCCCTGTAATGGTAGCATCTTTAAAGTCATATAGTGGCTCTATTCTGTGTTTCCTGCCAGCCACCTTTACAACCATATTAATAAAACTACAAAAACTAATGTGTATTTTATTTAGAAATCTTCTGATAAAAACATGAGCAGTGTTTCAGATAAAGGTGATAAATATTCTCTTAAAGAATATCATCCTACTGCATCTTTTTCAAGAGCTCCTCTTTCTCTTTCTAGGACTCAAGAGACACAAGTAGTCATTTCAGAGTTTACAAGGGTAACCAAAATCATATGTATGTACAGACAAACGTCGAACATCTACGAGGCAATAGCCCAGGCCAAACAGGCACGAGAAGAACATCTTCCCAGTCTGAACAAGCCTCTCCTCCTGTGGACAATGGGAACTCTGGATCTGAGGGCAGGGCACAGGGTGAACTCAGATGCCCTCATTGTATGAGGTTTTTCAGTGATGAACTCAGTGATGAATTCCTCAAGCATGTTGCAGAATGTTGTCAGTGACCATGGCATGTGAGGTGTGTAAGTCAATCACTACTTTATAGACAGTAAAACTTTGCTCTGTACATATCTCCTACAGTCCTAAAACAGAGTAATTCAAATGGACAGCTCTTAGGAATTAGGAGGATGAACAGTATCTACCTCTTATTTGATTTCACCTTCTCCTGGACTGTATGAAAGACCTCAAGATAAAGCAAAGTGTTTTTATGAAGAATTATTTTTGACAACTACGAGGAAGGCAAGCATAATGCAAATTCTACTACAAACTAAACTGAAACTTACAGTGGTAATTAGCTTCAGAGTGCAGCTTGACTCATATTTGAGTAATTCTTTACACCAGTCTGAAAACTTATGAAAAAAAATTACTGAACTTGAAATTTTCCTCCTCTTCCAAAAACGTAGGCTGAAGAGCAGAGGGGAGAATTTTGGCCGAAGATAGGAAAAAAAGAAATCTTACTGTGCTTTACCTGGATTAAAAGCAAGAGTATTTTTTTTGTCTATTGAAGCTGAACTTTCAGACATCTCATGTGAAAATCCTTGTGTTTAACTGAAATCAGGAGAAGTGAAGAAAATATAAAAGGGCTAGTTATTGACTAAAACTAGCCTGTCTTTTTGCACAGAAACAATGTACAGGATTATTTATTTTTTCTGTGCCATAAGTAACTATTTTACATATTTGTAAATGTATATTTGTGTAATTATTGATTGTATTCCTATTTTACCTAAGGATTATTTTTATAATAAAAGTGATTGTGTACTTGCTTTACTACATTAGTAAAGTGGTCCAAAAAATCTCTCTTTCAGTGTAAGTATTTAAATGTGAAATAGCCCCAGTAACTATACTAAGGGCTAACCAAATGTCATGGTTTCAGATGTGAGTTATTTCATTACTTCAGTGATAACCATTGTCTCAGGCTATTTTCAAATACGTTGAAAAATCACTCCACATTTATGAGAGGAAGAACAACCTTTCAGATGCACAAGAACACATTACACATTAAATGCCCTACCCTGCCACACATCTGTGACGAGGCCAATGCTAGCTTGAATTCCTTCTGAGCCTGTCTACACTGGTGATAGCTTCAACTTCAAACAGCAGGGGACTGTTTTAAGAAATACCAGAAGTTCAAGTGTACAAATGTAACAGGGCCACCTTGGCTCCAGGTGTTTCTTACCATGTCAGAGGCCAAGTTAAGAATGGGATACAGAGTAAAGGCCTAGTAAAACTGTTACCTTTCATAATTACAGAAAACTTACTTTGTATAACAATACTCTGCTCTTCTGCTTTGCTTTCCTCCCAGTACTGTGCTTTGGGAGGATTATGGATATTTTATGTGATTTTTCCTTTGCAGCCCCAAAGAAAGATGATTGATTGTTTATGACAACATTGCCTTAGGTGGGATATTGCCAAGAGATTCATGGGCCACTGCATGCCATATGCAGGTGCAGTGGTTCTTATTCAGCTCATCCTGAACCGATAACAAACCCGTGATTGATTACTGACTTGTTTTTCCCAACACAACATGCACAAACATGCAGAGATTTTTATTTTTGTCTGTTTTTTTAGTGACCTTTTTAATACATCACCTTTTAAGGTCTTAGAGATCAGATGCAGCCCACAGAACAGAGGCTGAGAAACATATGATTAAGCTTCCTGTGGCATAAGCCAATCTTACTTTTTCTGACTGTTCTCATTAGACAAGCCTTGTTTACAGCTTCAGTGTACACCAATACTATATTGCTAGTGATACAGCAGAGTATGGGCCCTTTTTTTAAGTGATTCACATTACAAGACAATTAAGACAAACACAACAATAAAGCAAGGTAGATCTTGGCAGTGCATTGTTTTTCATTGCATTTGAGATGATCAATGCTTTAATATACATCAGTCAGAAGCTCAAGACTGCTACAGATTTCCACTCATGTTAACCCCCATGGGTATGGCTGCAAAGACTGACCTGCAGCTAGTAGATGCAGTCTACAGCACACAGAAATTAATACTTGTGTGTATACTTGTGGTTTTAAGACCTGTGAATCAGTCCCCTTGTCAGAGCAGAGTCTGAATCCAGAGAAACAAGTGCACTTCAGTGCTGGGAAACAGGATATCTCTCCATGGAGGACCACACTGGACCACCAGACACGAACAGGTGAAATTATAGGTCAAGCACAGATTACAGCTACCACCTAAAGCTATGCAATAAATGTCTGGAATTTGAACACCTGTGGCAAAAATCTAGGACAGATCTGCTGGTTTTCCATGTAAAAATACCTCACTTAAGAGCTATTTTATTTTACCATTTCTTACTGAGTTTATTTTCTCCAGCTGGTAAAAGGCCTTACTTTCTTCTTTCTTGTTTTGGCTTAACCAAGAAAGCAGTTACACACACTATGAAGAACCACCAGTGTCTCAGATGCAAATGTTTGTTTCAGGGTACCGGGCATAAGCTATTCCTCCTAAGAAAACCTGTCTACTATTCAGTCCTTTGACTTTTACACCAAAGTTACTGGTATCTCTCTTGAAGAAACCGTATAAAATCTTTGCTTGCCCTCTCCTCACCAGGCAAAGCATACACATCAAGGCATCCCATCTTATTTGGTTAAATAGTAAAAGCAACCCAGCTCCTTTCCCAAAAGAAAGCAATAAAGGCATATGAGTAAGAAAGTAACTGCATAAAATGAAAGGAACTTCAACAGCATAAACTTTATGAACTTTCATTATCCATTTGTACCGCACTAGTTCACTGAAACACACATCATCTGCAAAACTGCAGAAAAGTCCTCACAAGAGAGGCTCTGGAAACTATACAGAACTACATGACCATACGTACGGGACTTGGTTCCTTACATGCTGTACTGGTAACAAAAGTCATCCATGATAACTGAACCCTGTTATCTCTCAAAGTTAACGCCTGTTTAGGCTTCTGTAAAGCTCTTGTTGCTGGTGAGCAGTGCCTGTACTGGAGAGGCACGCCAACTCTAGAAGACAGACAGGGACCTCTGTAGGTCCAGGGAAGCTGGGAGAAGGAAGAATAACTGCCTCTTCTGGGACTTGCAGAAATGTGTCTTAGCATTTTAAGAGCTGCCAAGATATATTTGTCCAATTACCTTGATGATCAGTCCCTCCCTTTTTCTCCCTCATTAAATTACCCTCCCTCAGTTTTGCTCTCCAAACCAGCCTGAGTTCAGACCCAGGACAAGCTCAGCTGCTTTCAGAGCATATATTGTCCAAGTGCTGGCAAGCTGGTTCTCATTACTCCTGGACCTAATTATAATGTATTTTGCTTGGGATTTTAAAGCAAATGCTGTTTACTAATATCTATGCCGGTTGCCATGCAGAAGTAGGCCCTTAGCACACAATCACGACAGCAGCTGTAGGCAAAACTGACTCACTGAATCTCAGAAAATGCATCTGGGAGAAGCCTCAGAAGTTAGTCCCTACCCCAAAAGCCCCTAGGGAGAGAAGCTCAACAATAATGCTGTCTTCTGTAGTATGGGCAGTATAGAGACTAAAAAGCTTCTCAAATCTTCTGCAACTTCTAAGGCAATGTCTGCTTCTCCCTCCCAATGATTTAAGACATCACATGTTTTAAAACAAGCTTTAAATGATACCTGAAGATTAAGTGCTCACTAATAATAAAACTGACTACAAGAATAAAATTTGTTCAAGAAGCAGATACCTAGGCTCTATGGTATTTTTTTTTTAAACTTCCATTTCCTGTGGCTTTGCTGCATGTGTATATATAGAAAGCAAGGGAAATTCCAAACAAGATGCCACACCATTGTACTCAGAACAGCAGTGCTTCTCATTCTAGAAAAGGGAAGTCTCAAATACTTTTTCTACAAAATCTATGTGAATTCATAGTATGTTGTAGTAATATTTCCTAGTATCATGCTCCAGTAGCTATCAGCTGGGGGGTGTTCAGCTGAAAACCTAAAGCATAAGAAATACTTACAAAGCACTAGGTCAACCCAGCAGGACCTCAGCAGAGGGACGGTGTATCACGTTAAGCACTCCTGCCTTCTCACCTGATGCCTCAAATCACTCACTAAGGGCAAAGTGAAGCCTAGCACCCTCACTGAAGCTATATAGGGGACACCTGAAAGGCACCAACCATCCCAAGTGGCACAGCCTCTACTCCTGCTGCTGTTCAGTGCATTCTTCCCTTCTCCCTTTAGTACGTTCACTTTTTTCTCCTTTTTTATATTCACTGGTAAGAAGCTGTTTGTGCCAGAACTCTTCACAACATGCACTGGACGTATGGCGTCTACAGTGGCTGATAGCCTCCCCCCAGGAGCTTGAGATATTTCCATAACACATGGAGCTCCATTGTGAACAGCACTGAACCAGATGGTGAGTTATGAGACAGATTATTTTTAGAAGGCACCAAAAAACCCTATTTGAAGTGTGCACTTAGCTTAACCACTCTTGTTCTCCTGACTGTCCTTTCCCAGGCCAGCCCTTCCAGCATGCCTTCTGGAGATCTGGCTGATGGATGGGCTGAGCAACCATGAGCAGACGAGCCCTGGCTGCTCATGCTGACACCCACCTCCTTGGTGTCACACAAACCCACCTTGCCTGAAGCTTTCACACTCTAATTTCTTAAGGAGTGGGAGGGAGGAAAGAGCAGTGGGACCCAGTTCTGCAGTGCTTGCAGATCCACCTCCATCCTCTCCCTGTCACCACTGCAACCCTCTCTCTCACTCCCTCCTCCCTCATCTCGCACTCACCCAATCTCTTTGTCAAATCTGTCTTTATACAAAAGCATTTTTTTTTTTTAAATCACCAATAGACACCTTCTTGGTTACGTGCAACTATTACAGGCTGTTTTTACAGGAGGGGCACACACATCACCAGGCAAATCTAGTATCTGTCCTGTCAGCTCTTCAGCCAGCATGACCATCCTCCATGCCTTGCTGAGCTTCTTGGCTCCTGCTGCAATCAGACTTCCTCCAGGCACACCCAAACCTCCCTTGCACAGCCCAAAATCCCAGGGCTGAATGGGATTCACAGCTCAATGTCCACAGCGGTTCAGACTTGGGTGATGCCCAGGTTTACCTTCTCTGTCGAGACAGGAGCCTACGCTGAGGAATAGTACCTTGCTGGCAAGGAAGACAAGGTGCCAATCTGTGGTCTCCCTCCAGCTGTGCCCCCGCAGCCCTCTCTGGGCTGAGCCAGCTGCAGCTCATGCAAACCAGCCACCTGTGCCTGCCACCTGAGCCCCGGGCTGGGAGGAGAGCCCCAGGCACATGCACCAGCTCTGCAAGCAGCCTCACTCAAAGCCCTGGGGTTTTTCCTGCCCAGTGCGAAGCAGGAAGCAGGTCTCAGACCATGCTATGGGGCAGGGTCTCCATCTCTCTCGGGACACACGGTGGGGGAGGTGAAAGGAGCTCACATCTCCTCAGACCAAATGATCTCAGCTCATAAGAGGGGGAAAAGAAGTAAAGAAAAGAGTACAGACACCCAGAGAGGAATCGGCCCTCATTCTGATCATCACCACCACATCTCAAGGAAGCTCAGGCATCCAGAGAGGCATGCAAAGGTCCACAGACATTGGAGGAAGAACATCATCTGCCAAGAGAAAAGAGGCCTTGGTGTGATGTGAAGTCATTCATGCACACCACAGCTGAGCACAGTCTAAGAGAGCATCCTACTTCTCCTTCCCACCATCTGAACTTGCCCTCAGTGCTGAAGATTCAGTCAAGTGGTTCTTGGCTCTTCTTTTGATCTCAGTGCTGAGCACCTGCTCTATCT